ATGCTCAAGATACAGTATGAAAACTCACGGTGGTAGATGTATAAGGAAACTTTTAGACTAATGCGTAGTGATCGGCAGAAACTTTTCCACAGTCCCTGCATCAGCCCAAATATTTGTAGGGAAGGAGAAAACGGGAGACTGCAGTTAGCACTCATTATTTTGACATGGGCTAGGCAGGCAGCAGTGAGGAAAAAGGAGCTAAGAGACTTCCAGGTGTCTCCTTGCTGCAGCCAAGCAGCACCGAAAGCCCCACCCCTGTCTGTGTTGCTCCAACATGCTACCGGCTCGGAACAGCCACTTCTCCTCATGCACCTGAACCTCCCTTCCTCATCCCGGCCCAGGCGCCATTCTAACCACAAGTGCGCTGAGCTCCAGGTGGGACCCCTCCAGACCGTCCCAGAGATCAGCGCTCGCACCGAAGCCCAGCCAAGCTCCGCCCTGCTTGTATATTCAATTAGGACAGCAGTCCTTACCTCATTAAGGGGCAACCCGAACTTCAGTGGGCACAGCAGCAGCAGATGCCACCCTTTCCTCAAGAGGAGAAGCTCCCACACTCAAGTCTGCATGTGTACTACCTCTTTAAATAAATCCTGCTCTCCCACTGCACTCGATCTAGGTCTCTGCTTTGAATTCCTCTGAAATAAACCCAGAGGGAAGCCTGTTTCTCCAACTGCTTGGTCAAAGGCCTGGCACAGTTCATGCTCCGGTCCTCAGATTCAACAAGAAAGGAAAACCTTGGAGTGAGCCCTTTTCCACCCTGCTGTGGACTCTGGGAAGCTGACCCTTCCACCACCGGACCACAGTAACTTCCCCAACCCCTGCCTTCCGTTTCCTTCCAGTCATGGGAGCTCTGGCCAGAAATTAGAGACAGCAGGAGGAAAGTGAACCCAGAGTATTTACTCTCTGAGCTATCTCCCTTGGAAACCTCAGCTCCTGTAAGAGATCGATGCCCCTCCCCCTCTCCCTCTCATACACACACACACACACACACACACTCTCTCTCTCTCTCTCTCTCTCTCTCTCTCACAGCGACTCCTACAGTTCTACAGTAATCCTCCTTCCCTCATCCCCTCCCCTTGACCTTTACACCTAGAAGGCGCTGGTCATGACTTCCTGCTGTTGCTTGCCCTGGGAGGTTTCTCCATCTCTTGTTTTTCTTAGTCCTGTTCACACCTCTGCAGTCTCTTAATTAACTTTCCAGTTGCCCCTACTGGAGTTTTCCACCCATTTTCCTTCCAGGAGGGTAGGCGCTGCCCAGTTGATCCAAGGACCAATTCTGTAAGGAGATGAGTTTGGTAAGTGCCTGGCTCCATATTATTACTTCTGGGGTGAGGCCAGGAAAAGGTCTTTAACTCACTGACCCTTATCTACCGAGCTATGCGCTGATGCCTCAATTTCCTCTAAATGCAACCAAAACCTTTCATTACACTGTCACAGAGAGGACACAATGTGTGAATTTCCCTGACGTAAAACAGCTTTGCTGTATCAATGACTGAAAACGGATTCTTTCTTGAGAAATAGCTTTGTTGACAGAGATAGAAGAGCCAGGCTGCCTGACTCAAGACAGTGGTCCCACCCCAAAGAATAGCCACCTGGAAGAAATGAGGTTACCCACTGGGCTGATTGTGGCTCTCAAAGATCAGTTGTTGACATCGTAACCCCCAGTACCTTAAAATGTGACCATATTTAGTAGGGCCTTTAAACAGGTAATTAAGGTAAAATGAAGTCATGTGGAGTGAGCCTCAACCCGTAAGACTGGTGTTCTTATAACAAAAGGGTGGGACACAGACGCACAGAAGTAGAACTGCGTGATGATGTAGAAGTCAGCCATGTAAAGCCAGGGGTCCTGGAACAGGTCCTTCCCCTGTGGTCCTCAGAGGATAAACAACCCTGACAACATCTTGATCTTGGATTTCCAGGCTCCCAAACTCTGAGAAGTTTCTGTTGTTCATACCCAGTCCACAGTAATTTACTGGGGAAGCCCTGGCAAGCTCTTACACCCACTCCCCATTTCCTAAGGTAAAGCCTTCTCTCTCCACCAGACCAAGAAAACCAAATCTATTTTATCAGCAAGATGAAGCAACAACTGGTGTGTATAAACTCTAAAGTAAGGGGATTATTTTCTTACCTACCCTTTCATAATTATATGCTATCTGATCCATCATTTTGAGCAAATTAGTGCATTTATTTAGTTGGCTGTTTGGGGAATTAATGCTCAGCAAATACTGGTGCATTTGGGGGTCACTTCCTATCCTACCAAATACTGGGACAAAGCCTTGAGAAAGAACTTGGCATTTCAGGACATAATGTGTCATCTCTTCTCACACAATGATAGTATTCAAGAACCAACCACCCAGCAAAGAGGTATAAAGTCTCCAGGAAATTTTACTAACGTGAAAAGAGTAAAAAAAAAAAATGAATTAAATAAATGAGATCCCTGGATTGCAGAGGTCAATTCCCTTCCTGAGTCCTAGGTATTAGTACTCCAACAAAAGCTATTTATATAGCCTTCCCTGGGAGTGCTGGGTCTCTTGGAATCCATACCCTGGCCTAACTCAGACACCTTAATTTGCAGGATTTGCTTGCTAAGGATCAGTCTATGCAGTTTGTTGTCCGTCACTGCCCTGTCTGAACAAGGAAAGTCAAAACAGCTACAGAAAGCCAAGCGAAGAAAGAGCCCCAGGCAGTCATCGTTATTTTTCTCTCCCTAGGGATAAATGCTCTCTGGTTACCTTCTGTTTCTATTGCAATTATTAAAAAGTAATGAGATTCCCTTCTGAAATTCGTGCTGGGGAACCCACTGCCTTAGAATAAATGTAAAAGCATCAGGTACGTTTGGCACTGATTAAAAACTAACTCAAAATCAAAACCAAATTGTTAAGGTTTTAAAGGTCTCCGCCTCAAAAACCAAATGTCAAAGGTAACAGAAATGCCACTAGTGGAATCACTTGTTTTATTCTATCTCACTTTAGTTTCAAGTTCCAGAGCGGCTCATTTTTACTAGATTTACTGAGGTGCCATGCTCTTAACAATAGTTTACGCGAGTTTTCCCTTCAAATATACAAAATTAGAAGTGTTACTGCGTCCCTAAATGTGATTTTTATTACATTCCGTGCCCAGGAATTTTTCCTGCGAAACACAACTTGATTTCATAACAGAAATGCTGGATTCCCTTCACAGACTCTTGCTTGGCTACAAACTTTATGGGAGCAACAGTGTTCATTCAAAGAAGCTGGCTGGCTGGCTGGCTGGTGCGGAGATTAAGTGCCGGCTTCCAAAGCAAGGCCTTCTGGGTTGGCATCCTGGCTTCCCCACCTTACCAACTGATGGTTCCATGGTCAAATGGAACCTCCCAGATCCCAGCCTTCTCATCGTGTAAAATGAAGATAGTGACAGCCCCTAGCTCATTACTGTATCCTAGGAACTAAGTTAACACGAGTAAGGCACGTCATCTAGCATCTAATCTGTTTTATTTGCTCAAGAAATATTAGCTGCTGTTGTTGTCAAGGAAGCAAAAAAATTGTACTTCTCTTGCTACTCATCAAGGGCAAGTCTCAACCCCACCGCCTACGCCTAAGCCATGCATTCAGCCAATGAGCAGACTGGGGTCGCCTTTGTGAATGAAAGGGTGACCTTGCGTGGTTTGCCAGCCACCACCCCCAGAGGGCTGTCAGGGGCTCTGAGCTGGGGATGTGTTGTGGTGAGGTTTTTGGCCTAAGCTTTCTTGGTGGGTTTGGCTTTGACGCAGTTGAGGTTGTTTACTGTTTCTAAAAAAACATGTCAGCATATTTCGTGTTCTGCCTGTAAGATTTAGTAAAAACCTAAAGCTATTCCTTAATGGATATGCATTAACATCTGAATATAGAAATAAGACAACTAATGGGAAGAGTGAGAAAGAAAAGAGGAGCGAATGAAGCGAAATGCTGAGCTTGACATTCAGGTTGGAGGTCAAACAAGTTTTCTTAGACTAATGGATAGTGGGAAAAACTCCCTTAAACCTTTCCTTCCTTTCCAATTCCATCCAGAACATTTGTGGAAGAGAAGGAAATCATAATTACTTTTTAAAAAGTTTGCAAAAATTACTGCAGGGGATATGTTTATGTAGAGTCTCGCATCGGCAGTGTTCTTGCTGAATGACCCAGAATTGAATGCTGTAATAGCAATCCGTCAAGAACATAAGTTAGGAGCCAGCGCTGTGGTGTAGTAGGATAAGCACCAGCCTACAGTGCTGGCAACTCATATGGGTGCCGGTTCAAGTCCCAGCTGCTTCGCTTCCCATCCAGTTCCTTGCTGATAGCCTGGGAAAGCAACAGATGGCCCACGTGCTTGGGCCCCTGCACCCACCTGGCTCCTCGCTCCTGGCTTCTGGCTTCTGATTGGGCCAGCTCCGGCCTTCGCAGCCATTTGGGGAGTGAACCAGCAGATGGAAGACCTCTCCCTGACTCTCTGTAACTCTGCCTCTCAAGTACATAAATAAATCCTAACAAAATAAAACAAAAAATGAATGTAAATTACCTAAGTCAGATTTTAGAAAATTTCGTTGTACTCCCGCATTAATGCATAAAACAGGCAAAATGGCACATACCTTGAAAACCCACCCTCTCCAAGGGCGTCAAGGATAAAAGCATCATGGGAAGTAGTTCCCTCTGGTCACTGTTCACAGCCCTGCAGTTGCGCAGAATTGGAACCGGAAATTGCGAACGTTACCTTAAAGAGATTCCAACACAGGGAAGGAAGGGTTCAGGTGTCTGGGGTCCTCCGCTGAAGACCTCGCTGCCAAGCCCTAGCCGGTGGCTGCCGCTCCCGGATTGGTCAGACCGCTGAACGCCAGCTGAGAGACGAGCCGTGATTGGTGGGTGAGGAGAGCCGGAACTGACGCCAGAGGGTGCGAGGTGAAAGGGCAAAACGTGCCGGGTGCAGATGGGCCGAACGAGGACGAGAGACGGACGGCGGCGGAGGGAGAGAGAGCTGTGAGGAGACGGGCAGTCCTTGTGGGGAAAGACGTGACGGGGAGGTTTCTGGAGAGACCGGTCGTCTCCCCGTCTTCCAGACGTCCTGGAAGGTCCTGGGTGGCTTTGTCTGGGTTTTAGCTATTTCCCAGTGCCACTTGGGCTGTGAGAATCTTCATATTTATACTTTTAGTAAACTTAGTTCTGATAGTTTTTATCTGAAGGTTAAATAAGTTCAATTTCATATTAATCATAAAGTGGAAAGCCACTGGTGTTTGCCGTGAGTAAAAGGTGATGACAAAATAGTAAGAAATAATTCATGAAATTCTAGCCAAATACTATTGGGGTGGGGGAAGTTTGCTTGGTGTTAGGGAGGTGTTAAAGGTATCAGGGCACCAAAATGAGACCTCGCCCTTGATGTAATCAAAAAGAAGCGAGATAGGAAAGAACGCGCTCGTTTTGCAAGGCAGTGTCTGAAGTCACTTCTGCTCGGACCGCCTAACACTGGTGCTGTCCACTCTACCTTAGTGCTTCATTCTCCTAGAAGAGCTATGCTTGTATAAATTAACCCAGTTTTCCTTGAACAGCCGTCAGTGTTACTAGAATCTCGTTAACCTGAGGCGCCCGCCCCGCCCCACTTCGCCAGACTAAATCATTTCCCGGGTTCTGAAGGTTTACAGTAGAAGCCCCAGGACTAGAGCTGGGAGACCCCAGAGGAATGCCAAGAAGGCGCTGAGCCCATGGATAACACCTGTGCCATCCGGGGTGGCAGGCAAGAGACACACGTGTCCTGGAGACTGGTCCAAGTTGAAATGTGCAGTGTAAAATACGCACCAGGTTTTTAAAAATAGTACAGAACATTCTTCTTATCAGTTTTATGCTGGTTGAATATTACTTGTTTTATTTGTGGAAGTTAATACATAGTATACAAATTATGTGGATGTCACACCGTTTGATATGTAGTTATAAATGTTACTTCACTGAATTATACCATGTGCATAAGAATACACCCTTGTTTCCCCATGCTATGATCATTGTTATGAATCCCTCATTTGGTGATATTAATATTCCTGTTTGCAAGATACTCCTGTTTGCAAGAAAAAATGGTATATTCGTATACATATATAATACCTACATTTGAAGTGAATGTGGCAAAATGTTAAAAATTGTTAAATTTTCAAACTAAAAACTTTAAAATAATTATCTTTATGCTGATTACACATGTAAATGTTATTTTGGATATATTGATTAAATGTACTAGTAAGATTAAATTCACTTCTTTTTAATTGTTAAAGTATTTTATTTGACCAATTTTAGACTTCTTACAGAAAAAGGGCAAAATTTTAGAGCATTCCTACATGCCTTTTACCTAGCCTGCCTTTAAGTTACTATTTATATAACCACAGCAAAATTATCAAAACCAGGGAATTAACAGTGATATAATCCTATTAACTAGACTACACTCGAGTTTCAAATTTCACCGGTTTTCCCACTCATGTCTTCCCCGCCCCCGACCCCCTGTGCTGGTTGACACCATACATAGGTAAAAAGAGCATGTTCATAACAGAAATATATGGGTTTAATCATCTACACTCTTCTAGGCTCTTTGATGTATTTTGCTTTCAATACCAATGACACCAAAGGTTTATTGAGAACTGCTCTGTTAATCGCTTTTCTAAATACTTCGCATGTATTCAGCAATTTAATCCCCGTCTTATCTCTGCTTTGCAGCCAAGAAACCTGAGGCATGAAAGCTGTGAATTGCACAAGACCCTCATTGAGCTCCAGAAGTGGCAGATCCAGAATCTGAACACAGAGGGAACTCCAGAGCCTGGACTTAGAGCCACTACACTCTTTTAAAGGTACAGCATCAGTTAGTTCCCATTCTACATCTCAGCTGTTACCCACTGTCAACTCTCTCTCTTCATTTTTCTCTCTTCCTGCATGACAGAGTGGGAGAATGGATGTGGACTCAGTGAGTGTCTGTCCACTGCGCTAAGAATTTCACAGCACAGTATCTTGTATAATGCTCACACAGTTCCATTTTACAGATAAGAAAACTGAGGTTCAAAAATCCCAAGGGGCAGTGGCTTGGATTCCCTTCTTTGACTCTCTGGCTTTCTGTTCTATGCACCTACTCCCCAGTTAGCTGAGCAGCATACATGTTTTGAGTGCTTCCTAGCTTTGAGAGATCAGTGCTCCCAGGGATTCTCTCCAAGACCCTGATGCGCCTTTGCAGGCAGCAGAAGGGGAACATAGCATCCCTTTAGCACAGAGTACAAAACTGGGTAAGTGCCAGATGTCGGTAGCCTGTTCACCTAGGTAAAGGATGTGCGATAACTCTTGTTAGCCACACTGTCTGGTGGAGAAACTAGAGCGTTTGACCTATTTGTAACTAAGCAGGCTAATTCCTTTTACAAGCAGTACAAAGACACAGCCTAGAAAGTGATATTACAAGGGGTAGGTGCTGCAATGCAATGGGTTAAGCTGCTGCTTTGTGCTTCTGATCCAGCTTCCTGCTGATGCTCCTGAGGCACAGCGGATTATGGTTCAAATACTAGGATCCCTGCCACCCATGTAGGAGTTCTGGCTGGGGTTCCTGGCTCCTGGCTTTGGCCTGGCCCAGCCCTGGCTTTTGCAGGCATTTGGGGAGGGAAGCACCAGATGGAAGCTTGCTCTCTTGTCTCTGTTTCTGTCTGTGTCTCTCTGTGTCATTCTACCTTTCAAATAAATAAGTACATAAAATCTTTTTTTTAATGGAACTGCTTATTGTTGAATGCGGAGTTTGTTATATTAATCAATGCTCACGCCAGTGGCTGAGTGACAGAATATTCTTTAATGAAAGGGTAGAACTGGGCACCGCTTCCTGGGGCTGTGCCTTCTAAGTGGAGAGTGCCAGAGTCTTCCAGTGACTCCTGAAACCATACCAGTGGGGCTGCCTCAAAAAATATTTTAAATGGTGATGTGATTGAACGATTGAAAGGAGTTATATGCAACTAAGCATACTTTGATGATAAGATGAAGGAGTGAGGTCTCCTTTTATTATCTATTAAAAAGAAAAAAATTTCTATTTCTAGGGGTTCCCTGCTCTGTAATCCCTTTCCTTCACATTATAGAGCCTTCTGTAGTTCCTAAAGATAGCCACTAGATGGAGCTCCTGAACCACATTTAACTCCCCAAACCCACAGCTGCACAAACGTTTTTGTTCCTTTTTGGAAGGAAACAAAAAAAGAAAAACTAACTCCATAAGCCTGCATGCAATGCAGTGTAATGGACAAGATATTCTTAAATTCTTTTATAAAAACAGTTCTAGGAATAGGCCCAGGGAACAAAGAATTCCGTCTCACCAACAGAAGCCATGACTTATTGCCTGGCGTACCCTGACACCTGTCCCTTGAATTGTTCTCTTGAGAGGATTTTGTGTCTGAATTGAAGGAGAGGACTGCCAGGAACACTGCCTGTTTTGTTTTTGCTTTGCTTTGGGGGTGAGGGGTACACTTCCATGCAGATCGGAGAATGAAAGGGGTGTTCTGGGAGGGTTATGCTGGTGAGGGCAGTATTTTGCACGTCTTCCTGCACACACTCCACCATCCCAGAAGCTTGCGTGGCCAGCGGTGGATCTGCACCCCAAAGGGCAGGATGAGTGATTTTGAATAGACCATGCATGCACACCTAGGGCAGAAACAAAACAAGGTGACAAAGACTGCTAAGTACAAAGCACCAGGCATGGCCCCAGCACCCTGCGGGACCTGGCCTGAGCCACCGGAGGAGAATGAAGAGATCAGATGGAGGCTTGCACCAAGTCGTCGGTCCAGTCCGTGCTTGGCGTTGAGAGAGCGTAAAGGATGGTGAGAGTCTGAGGCTGGCTAGTCAGTGGACCCTGAATTCACAGGCTGGGCTGCAACACTGGCAGGGGACCAGCCTGCGCTGAGCACCTGCTGCACACGGGGACTCCCGAAGCTCTTGGAAAAATGGAATTAAAAGAAAATGGTCATTTTTTCATGAACTTTTTGAAGACCACCACACATCCATTCAGAAGATAGCTTATTTTTTCTCATTTAAAATTTTTCATTGATGTATTTTTATTTATGTGAAGGGCAGAGAAAGACAGACATCTCCCATCAGCTCATTCAGTCTTCAGATGCCTGCAGCAGGCTGGGCCAGGCTGAAGCTGGGAGCCTGGAACTCCATCGAGGTCGCCTGTGTGATTGACAGAGAGCCAGCTAGCTGGACCATCACCGCCGCCTCCCAGGCTGCTCATTCACAGGAAAGCGGCAGCGGAAGCAGAGCTAAGACTCAAACCCAGGCCCTCCAATATGGGATGCTGCTGTCCCAAGCAGTGTCTTGACCACTGTGCCAGATGCCTCCCTCTTACTTTGCTCTCAAAGCAGTTCCAGAATGAAGACTGGAATCTAGATAGCTCACAAGACCCTGCTCAGAGTCCAGCAGGTAGCGAACGGCAGAGCTAGGCCAGTTCTCAAAGCCAGTCCCCGTGCACTTGCGGCAATGTCTCCTCAGTGCTTGCAGTGTGTCGGCGTCAGTGCATTGTTGCATTTTACACCCAGGACAGGTGTAACCAATCGGTGTTACTCTGATCCCCACTTTGAGGATGCAGCAGCCAAAGCACCTGGAGGTCAGGAAGCTCATCTAACAGAACACAGCTAGGGAGTCACGGGCTTTAGATTCAGAACCAGGTCAGCGGGTTCTGCACTGTTGCTCTGAACCAAATCACTGCCCAGAGTCCCTTGGCCTTGCGGCAGGTGCTCAGGCTTTGGCCCAGTTACAAAGCCTTGGCCCAAAGGTCTTAACTGCCAGAAGGGAAAGGAACAGGGTTTGCTTTCCCCACGCTGGGAGTGAGACTAGGTAACACTTGTTTAGAGCCTCCTAATGGCCAGTTTCTGTGTTTCTGCTTTCTATGGATGACATCATTTGGATCTCACAGTCATCCCAAGAGAAAAGAATCATTACCCTCACGTTTAGGTGGGAAAATCTGCACCAGAAAGATTGCTTAACATACCCAAGGACAACAATTAAACGAATAGAGGCAGAATCAAAATGTAATGGCTGTTTAACTTGAAGGAATTTCCATGAAATACTGTTGAATGAGGAAAGCAAAATGCAAAAATATATAGGCAATGTACATACATAAAAATATACTACCATGGAGAAAAATGTAGGATGGTACATATCAAATTGTTAATCTGGCTTTTAGGGATGATGTGTTAAGAATGCAAAAACATTTATGCATCCATGAAATATACACAGATGTATATTTAGCCTAGGGATTGAAACAGTAGTTATGATGCTGTACCCCAGGACCAGCACTGCGGGTATAGTAGGTTAAGCCTCCGCCTGCAGCACCAGCATCCCATATGGGCATCAATTCAAGTCCTGGCTGCTCCACTTCCCATCCAGCTCCCGGCTAATGGCCTGGGAAAGCAGCAGAAGATGGTACAAATCCTTGGACCCCTGCACCAACGTGGGAGACCTAGAAGAAGCTCCTGGCTCCAAATTGGCTCAGCTCCGGTCGTTGCGGCCATTTGGGGAGTGAACCAGCAGATGGAAGACCTCTCTCTCTGACTCTACCTCTCTCTGTAACTCTTTCAAATAAAAATAAATAAATAAATAAATATTTTTAAGAAGTCATGAAATACATACAAAAGGGCAGTATACAGAAATTAATTTAAACCAGTTAATTGATAAAATTCAGTAGGCAATCTAATAAAATCTTTTGGTTTATACTTCATTATTGTGGATGAGTTCTTCTAATGCTGTATTAGAAATGAAAGTAAGCATAGTATTTTAAGATGGAAACTCCAACTATTTTCAAATTAATGTCAAACAAGATTGAGAATCCAAATACCATTCTCTCCTACTCAGCATTATTCTAGAAGTTCTCGTTAATGCAATAAAATAAGAAAAAGAACTAAGAGGTAAAATCTTCAGAAAGGAAGACACAAAATTGCACATGAAGATAATTATGTTATAAAAGAGAAAATAAACAAATGCATCAACATAACACAGCCATCACACAACTTAGGACCAACCCTAACATGTTAGTCAGGATTGTCTGGACAAAGAGCAATAGAGAAAATGATTTATTATAAGAAGTTGGCTGGCGTTATTATGGAGACTAAGAAATCCCACAACCTGCCACCTGTAGAAGGCATAGGAAAGATGGTAATGTAGTTGTGGTCTAAACCCAAAGGCTTGAAAGCCAGCCAAGCCAGTAGTGTCAGAGCAGATCCAAGTTTGAAGTCTGGAGAGCCAGGAGCTCTGATGTGAAGGGCTGGAGATGGCTGTCCCAGCTCAAGCAGGGAGAGCAAATCCCCCGCCCTCCTCCACCTTTCTGCTCTGTTCGGGCCACAAATGGATTGGGTGGTGCTCACCCACATTGGTGAAGGCAGTCTTCTCTGTTCAGTCTACCAACTCAAATGCTAGCCTCTGCAGGAAACACCCACATGGACACACCCAACAAGTAATTTTTTAAAGATTATTTATTTTGAAAGAGTAGGATAGAGAGCAGGAGTTTTTTCACCCACTGGTTCACTCTCCAAATGGCTATAAGGGCCAGCATTGGGCCAGGCCAAAGCCAGGAGCCAGGAGCTTCATCCTCACCTCCCACTTGAGTGGCAGGGGCCTCAACACTTGGGCCATCTTGTGCTGCTTTTCCCATTAGAAGGGAGCTAGATTGGAAGTGGAGCAGCTGGGACCTGAACCAGTTTCCATATGGGATGTTGGGATTGCAGGCAATGGTTCTACCCACCCATGGTGGTCACATGCTGGCCCCCATCAATAAAGTTTTATCGGCATACTGGGCATCCCTTAGCTCAGTCAAGTCAATACATAAAGTTGACCATCA